ACCATCATCATCATCATCATCATCATCAGCAGCAGCATCATCATCATCATCATCAGCATCGTCATCATCAGCATCATCATCATCATCATCATCATAATCAGCATCGTCATAATCATCATCATCAGCATCAGCACCAGCATCAGCAGCATCATCAGCATCAGCATCATCAGCATCAACATCAGCATCATCATCAGCATCAGCATCATCAGCATCAGCAGCATCATCACCATCATCATCATCAGCATCAACATCATCGTCATCATCAACATCATCATCAGCATCAGCAGCAGCATCATTATCATCATCATCAGCATCACCACCATCATCATCATCAGCAGCAGCCGCATCAGCAGCACGGAATCATCATCGTCATCAGCATCAGCTTAAGCATCATCAGTACCAGCATCATCATCGTCATCAGCATCAGCAGCAGCATCATCGCCATCAGCATCATCACCACCAACATCATCAGCAACATCATCATCATCATCATCAGCAGCATCAGCATCATCAGCATCGTCATCAGTACCCGCATCATCATAATCATCACCCGCATCAGCATCATCAGCATCATCATCAGCATCGTCGAAATCAGCATCAGCATCAGCATCATCATTCGCATCAGCCTCACCATCATCATCATGGGCATCAGCATCATCATCATCAGCAGCATCAGGAGCAGCAGCAGCATCATTCTCCTCATCAGCATCAGTATCATCAGCAGCATCAGCCGCATCGTCATCTGCATCAGTATCAGCATCAGCATCATCATCATCAGTAACATTATCATCAGCATCATCGGCATCATCAGCATCAGCATCAGCATCAGCATCATCAGCATCAGCATCATCATCAGCCGCATCAGCATCATCAGCATCGTCGTAAGCAGCATCAGCAGCATCAGCAGCAGCCTCATCACCATCAGCATCATCAGCATCAACATCATCGGCATCAGCATCATCATCCGCATCATCATCATCATCACCAGCATCAGCATCATCATCACCATCAGCATCATCATCAGCATCATCAGCATCAGCATCACCATAAGCATTATCGTCACCATCAGCATCACCATCAGCATCATCAGCATCATCATACGCATCATCATCGACGTCCGCATCCTTATCCACTTCCTCATCCTCCACCTCCTCATCATCCTCATCCTCCTCATCCTCCATAGTGTCCTCCTCCGCCTCCTCCTCCTCATCCGCCTCATCCTCCTCCTCCTCCTCTTCCCCCTCCCCGCCTCCTCCTCCTCCTCCTCCTCCTCCTCCTCCTCCTCTTCCTCCTCCTCCTCCTCCTTCTCCTCCGCCTCCTCCCCCCTCCTCCTCCTCCTCCCCCTCCTCCTCCTCATCCTCCTCCTCCTTCTCCTCCTCTTCCTCCTCCCTCCCTTTCTCCCTCCCTCCATCCATCCCTCTCTCCTCCTCCGCCTCCCCCTCCTCCTCTTCCTCCGCATCCGCTTCTCCTTCCTCCTCATACTCTTCCTCCTCTTCCTCCTCATCCTGCCTTCATCATCCTCCTCCTCGTACGCCGCCTCCTCCTGCTGATTAGCAACATCATCATCATCATCAACATCATCATCAGCATCATCATCATTATCATCATCATCATCAGCAGCCGCAGCAGCAGCAGCAGCTGTCCCATCATCATCATCATCATCATCATCATCATCATCATCATCATCATCAGCAGCAGCAGCAGCAGCATCAGCATCAGCATCAGCATCAGCAGCATCAGCATCATCACCATCAGCACCATCATCATCATCATCATCATCATCATCATCATCATCATCATCATCATCATCGATATCCACCATCACTGTCAGTATCAACATCATCATCATCAACATCATCATCATCAACATCATCATCATAGTCATCATCATGATAGTCATCATCATCAGCATCATCATCATCATCATCATCACCATCATCATCATCAGCATCATCATCATCATCATCATCATCATCATCATCAGCATCATCATCAACAGCATGACCAGCATCATCATCATCAGCAGCAACATCATCATCATGTTCCTCCTCCTCCTCATGATCCTCATCCTCCCCCTCCTCCGCCTCATCCTCCTCCGCCTCCTCCCCATCCTGCTCATCCTCCGCCTCCTCCTCCTCCGCATCCGCCTCGGCCTCCGCATCCACATAATCATCTGCCTCCGCCTCCGCCTCCGCCTCCTCCGCTCTTACGAGTATTAGTACGAGTAGTGTTATGTTCATTCGTATGGTTATTTGTAGTAGTAGTAGTGGTAGTAGTAGTAGTAGTAGTAGTAGTAGTCGTAGTAGTATCATTATTAATGGTGGTGTTCGATTCTTTCTTGTTAATAGTATGTGTATGATTCCCCATGTGAGTATGATTAGTAACCGTATTTATATTGCTACTCGTATTTGTATTAATCATCCTCCTCCTCCTCTTCCTCCTTCTCCTCATCCTCCTCCTCCTCCTTATCATCATCATCCTCCCCCTTATCATCACCATCATCATCATCATCATCACCATCATCATCATCATCATCATCATCATCATCATCAACAGCAGCATCAACATCATCAACAACATCATCATCAGCAGCATCATCATCATCAGCAGCATCAGCAGCAGCAGCATCAGCAGCAGCATCATCAACAACAACATCAGTTTCCTCCTTATCATTTTCCTCCTCCTCCTCCGCCTCCGCCTCCGCCTTCTCCTCCTCCGCCGCCTCCTCCGCCTCGGCCTCGACCTCGGCCTCGGCCTCCGCCTCCGCATCCGCCTCTGCCTCCTCATCCTCCTTCTCCTCCTCTTCCTCCTCCTCTTCCTGCTTCCTCCTCCTCATGCGTTCTCCTCTTCCTGCTTCCTCATCCTCCTCCTGCTTCCTCCTGCTTCCTCCTCCTCCTCCTCAATCTCCTAATCCTGCCCCTGGTCCTGCTCCTCCTCCTCCTCTTCCTCCTCCTCATCATCATCCTCCTCCTCATCCTCCTCCTCTTTCTCCTCTGTTTCTCCTCCTCTTTCTCCTCCTCCTCCTTCTCCTCCTCTTCCTCATCCTCCTCCTCCTGCTCCTGCTCCTGCTCCGCCTCCCCCCCCCAATAATCGATGTTTCTGAATCCCTGAATCGATTGGAAAAGCAGTATGCGAGGCGGGGATGTAGACATATACACCGCCTGTGGAACCGATATCCTGGGACTCCAAGTGGCGGTGGATATAGATGTATTTCGGCCCCAATATCCACATCCACCGCCTGCCGAGGTCCCCGAAGATTGATCCCCCAGGAGGTGGTTGTGCATCAACCCCCGCCTCGGAGGGTAGATGTCGGATTTCGCCACGTGTTCGACGAATTCCAAACCCCGCCCCCACCGCCCATCGGGTCGCCTGGATCGTGCGTCGGCTAAGGGTGGGCTTTGGATTCCGCCGCCGAGCCTGGACCAGGAGGACTGCACGATCATTCGCACGCTCGCGCTCGCGGCGGCCTGCACCAGCATCTCGAAGAGGCCGTCCGGGTCGTCGATCACCATGGAGCCGAAGCCCACGAACACCGGCGCAGCGCCCCGCTCAAGGAACGCCGCGAGCTCCGCCGCTGGCTCGTACTCGGAGGCGGCCGCGGCGTCGTGCACAAAGCTCCCGAGGACGTCGACGTGATCGCCCCAGTCCAGCGGCTTCGCCGACAGTGCTGGCGACCACATGTAGGAGAACGGAACGCGCAGGTCGTTCAGCACGTGGGCTCCGCGGTCGCCAGCAAGAATGGGAGGCAGGCCGAGAGTCTCCGTTCTCCACGTGTTAACGTTGAGGCCCATCATCGTAAGCTTGTCAAACGCGCCGAACGTGATGCGGTTGGGCATGCTGGTCCCCATGACAAAGGGGTGCGGGTACTCTGCTGTTGGAGTCCACGGCTGGGGGAAGGCCATGTGGAGAGGGATGTTCAGAGCACTGGCACAGTGGATGTGCCCATACGTCACTGGGTTGCTTATGATGGCATGGGGCACGAAGCGGGGCCGCTGGGCGGCCACCTCCTCCGGAAGCTCGCCCACGCAAGCTGGCCACGTGGACTCCATGATGTCGTTGATCATCGCCAGCTTCGCCGGGATCATCTCCGAGACCTCCTCGCGGAGCTTGGTGAGCGGGGCGTGGATGTCTGGCAGGAGCCGCCCTTCCGACTGCACCATCCACTGGCTCAGCACCCTCGGATCCCCGGCGAGGGGGTAGAAGTCCAGGCCTGCCCTTAGCACGTGCTCGCGGTGCGCCAGGTGCGTGGCGAACCTAATGATGGGCCTGGTGTCCACCCCTTCCACCATAAGTTGGAGGGGGGAAGGAGGAGGGGCAGGAGGACCCCCTCCCCCTCCAGCTTATGGTGGTGGTGGTGGAAAACAGGCCCATCACCTGATGCGGTGACCGTACCGCTGCCTCAGCGCGTGCGCGAGCGCCACGAACGGAGCCACGTCCCCGTGGGTGCCCGTGATCATGATCAGCACGTTCAAGGCCGGCACCGCCCGCTCGGCTCGCGGCCACGGGCTCTCAGCTGCACAGACCTCTTGTGTGGGCTGGGCGACCGTCTTCGAGGGGCGGCAAGAAATACCACGCAACAGCTGACTGTACACCCGCGGCGTTCGTCGCATCGCGACGACCTGATGAGGAGGCGCCAATTGTTCCAGCAGCTTGATCGGGCCTCCAACCCTCAGCGATACACTTCCAACGAAGAAGAGCACCAACAACAGGTTCACTACGGGGATCCAGATCCGCACGGCCTCTGGACCAACATCCTCAACACCATCGATCGCCACGACCGTGGAGTGCACGGCACTCAGCAGCCACAGGAAGAGTACGACGAAAATCGGCAACAACGATAGCATCGTAATGTTCACGTCGTCATGATTCGTGATCGATTCCCATGCCTCGGGACGGATCCTGGTGGTCATGCGGCGCGCGCTCAGTGGCAGGTGCCTGGAGATGCCCCAGGCCTGGCCTGCACGGCGATGGCATTCGGAGCCCCGCGAGCCGAAACGGCTACGGACACGTGGTGGGGCTACTATCGCGGCCCATGTGCCACCTGCCCGCCCTTGGAGACCCGTCCACAGTGGAGCTGGGAAGGGAGGAAGGAAGGAGGCCCCAGGGGGGCTCTGGAGGACCCCTGGAGGCCGCTTGAGGCCCCCGCTCCCGCAGACAAACACCCGGGCACGAAGGGTCTCCTGCTGGAGGGTGGTGAAACTCGGAGGCAAGGGACTCAGAAAGAATCTGCCATAAACACGAAGCAATTGGGAGCGCGTTCACGGCATCCGCCACCGTGCCCTGAGGCGCGAGTTGGACTGTCCACAGTCCCATGAGCCCTCCGCCGTAAGCACATTTGACCGGACACCAAATTGCCAGATTTCTCGGGGATCTTCTGACCCGGGTCAATCCAGACCCGGGTCAGTCAGGCCTTGCGGAATCCTGCAAGATCCTGCACCCAAACCCGGGTCAATGCGAAGGATCCTGCAAGATCCTGCAGGGTCCTGCACCCAAACCCGGGTCAGTGCGACCTTGGCCCTGCAGGATCCTGCAAAATCAGGCGCTCTGGCTGACCCCCGTTTGCATTGACCCCCGTCTCTTGAGCCCCGAACTTCCAGGGCTTCCCGCATGCCGGGGCGTGTTCTCGCATGACCTTCTCGGAATCAAGAAGGCCCCAGAACGGACAGCGAGCGCCCCAGGAGGCGCCCAAGACGGTCCAAGAGAGCCCCGGGTCGGGCCAAAAGCGCTCCAAGGTGCCCAAGATGTCCTCACGACTGCCTACGAGGCCCCCAAGATGGCCCCAAGACGCCCCGAGTCCTCCAGAGAGGCCAAAAGCATGCACTCCCCTTCTTTTAAGTGTTGCCGCGATTCAAGTGCTGTCGCCGTTGCGGGATCCCGACGCTCCAGGACGGTCCAAGAGGCCGCAGGATCGCCCCAAGAAGCCCCCAGGAGGTTCCCATGACGGCACCAAAGGTCCCCAAAAACTGCCCAAGGCCCCAGGACGGCCCGAAGGGGCCCCAGGAGGAGGAGGAGGACGGAGGAGGAGGAGGAGGAGGAGGAGGAGGAGGAGGAGGAGAGGAGGAGGAGGAGGAGGGAGGAGGAGGAGGAGGAGGAGGAGGAGGAGGAGGAGGAGGAGGAGGAGGAGGAAGGAGGAGGAGGAGGAGAGGAGGAGGAGGAGGAGGAGGAGGAGGAGGAGGAGGAGGAGGAGGAGGAGGAGGAGGAGGGGCCCAAGAGAAGCCCCAAGAGGGGAGCACGAACCCACACCTCGATCCCTGCGCCCCAAGCCCCAAGACCGCCAGCGGCCCCTCAGGGGCCCCCCGAAGCACCAAGAGGGCCCCAGGAGGACGACGGGGGATAGGCCGAAGGCCTCACAGGCACCCAAGAGGCCTCTGACCCACAGTTGGGGCGTTGACCCAAGGAACGATAAATCAGGAACGGGGCCCCTTCCCCATGAAACCCCAAGGGGGCCCCAGGAGGACGACGGGGGATGGGCCGAGGGCCTCACAGGCATCAAGGAGGCCTCTGACCCACAGTTGGGGCGTTGGCCTAAGGAACGATAAATCAGGAACGGGGCCCTTGTTTTCCACAAGTGAAACGCTGACTCCCCATCGAGAACCGAAGGAAAGCCTGAGGCGAACTGCAAGACGACTGAGGAGCACGGAGCCCCTCCCGAACGCGCCTCGACTGTACAACCTCAGCACGGTGGCGGAGGATGGGCCGAAGGCCACTAGGCATGCAGAACTGGAAATCCTCGAGCATTGAAGTAGAAGGCGCTTCAAGTAGATCGAGGACCGAGAATCCAAAAGCCACCCCCCAGGCCTCTCCCAGGGGGGTGCTCAGACCAGAACTCTGGGGCGGATCCCGCCGTGGCGACGAGGACGCTGAAGACCCACGGAAAACGACAGCCAGCCAGTCAGTCAGAAGGCTTGCGCCAGACGGCGCGCGAGCGCGGTGAAACAAAAAATGATCGCGCCTGCGACGGGGCCCCTCGGCGATCCATCCAAAAACCGGCCTTGCAAGCACGTGTGGCTAAACATGTGTCAGAGAGGAGGAGGAGGAGGAGGAGGAGGAGGAGGAGGAGGAGGAGGAGGAGGAGGAGGAGGAGGAGGAGGGAGGAGGAGGGAGGAGGAGGAGGGAGGAGGAGGGAGGAGGAGGAGGAGGAGGAGGAGGAGGAGGAGGGAAAGGAGGGGAGGGGGAGCCACCCTCGAACCTCGGCCCTCCCAAAAGCCTCGAACCTCGACCCTCCCCAGACCTTCCGCGAAGGGCCTGCGCGGGCAGGCGCTGCCTGGGAGCATGCGGGCCCCGAGGGAAACGTGGCCCCTGGGCCCCCGGGGCTCTCCGCCAGGACCAGCTGGCTCGTCGCCCCGCGCTGCTTCCGGGAGGGCCCCGAGGCAGCCCGAGAAGCCCAAGAAGCCATCGGAGGCGAACGCGCAGCAGGCCACGAATCGGCGAGAAGCCTCGGGCTGTTGAACACGGGTGCGGCCTCGCGGGAATCCGTTGCGAGGCGCTGTGCCCACTTGGAGCAGACTCGAGGCGGCCGTGGGGCCCACTGAAGGCATGCTGGAAGCAAGATTGAGCCATCCTGAGCTGTAGTGTGCAACCCTGGAGGCGAACTGAGGCAAGACAAGAATAGTTTCATATTGGGCCATCCTGGACGCCCTGCCCGCCCGCGACCCCACCCCCCAGGGGTGGGGGCAGGGGGAGGGGTCAAGCCCTCCACGAAGGGGGGAGGCAGAGAATGAGGCAAGAAGGTAGACCGCCTGACCGTTCCAAACCACCCACGCCCGAAGGCTGGTGGGATTCGAGGAAGTCTCAGCGGGAGGGAATAGGGACAGCCTCCTCCTTCCCCTTCCATCCCCTCCACAAGAGTTTCCTCTCATGCTGCCCACAACCTCCCCTCCTCCTCTTCCTCCTCGTCAATATCCCCCTCTGGATGACGCTACTCTCTGGAAGCGCACGGCGGACACAAGCGCAATTGAGTCAGGTTTCCAGCGAGACCACAAGCTGAGCACCACCGCACCCTATTCCTCCGCTCTTAATGCAATACTAGTTTCAGCATCGCTATGTTTGCTTGTTATTAGTCACGCATGTGTTCGCAACTCTTCTTATGAGACGCTAGTTTTCCGAATCAGATTAACATGTTTTACCAATGTCACTTGTATGAGCTGCTTGTACGCACAGTTTTTGACATCAACACTCCAAACCTTACGCGTCGCATTGTTGCTGTTGGTCACGTTCGTATGCTTACTGCTGTTCCCCGCCATATTCTCAGTGTAAATGGTATTGGTAGCAAGCGTATTGTCATTATCCTTGCTCCAAACATCAATGCTTGCTCTTAGGGGGTCTTACTTGTGTTCTAATAAAATGGGCCTGCGGCCAGTCTGGCGGCCATGTTGCGGCCGTCGCCGCCCCGTCGCCGCCCCGTCGCCATCTCGTCGCCACCCGTCGACTGGGCCTGCGTGCCAGTCTGGCGGCTGTGTAGCCGCCGCCGCCTCGTCGCCGCATCGTGCCCGTAGTCCTGGTGCTTCGCATTGGTTTGCACTGCGTTGTAATTGCATTGATCTGCATTGGTTTGCACTGATACGCGTTACGTCGCAGTGCTTTGCATGATTCTATATTGCATCGCATGGATTGGTACTGGTTTCTTTGGGTTGTCTTTCGCTGCTTGACTTTGAGCTGGAGTGTTATGGATTCCCCTTTCTAAAAAGACAATAGACTCTACCCCCCCCCCGGACTTATCAGCTCCCCCTGGGATAATATGATTTCATATATATTCTGCACACTCGTCCACCCTGAATATGAATTCATAACATCCCAGCCAAACCGGGTTCCCCCTCCCTGAGGTTCCCTTGTAAAAAAAAACACTATGCGGTGACATTTGTTGTTCTAACACAACACTTTTTGTTCACGAATCCCTTGCAAAAAATGTGACGAAGTGCACACGCGCGCGCGTCGTCGCGCGCGCATGCCGAAATCCTTCAAAAACCTTCGGTGCGGGAAAGATTTCGCAATCGAGTTTCCAAAAAACATACAAACACACAAGGTTTCGCAACACAAAGTTGCTAAAAAAAACTTCCGCGAAAGCTCTTGCGAAATCTTAAGAAAACCATAGGTTTTCAAGATTTTCACAAAATTTTACCAAACGGGCTTCGCGCGCGCTCATGTCGAAATCTGTCGAACGCCTTTGCGCGTGTGCCGTCGCGAGAATCCCCTGCAATAACACAAGGTTTCGCAACACGGATTTTCAACAAAAGCGTGCGCGCGCGCTCTTGCGTCGTCGTCGTCGTCGTCGTCGCCGTCCTCCCTCCTCCCGCGTCGTTGTCGTCGTCGTCGTCGCCTACGTCGTCCTCTGTCTTTCCTCGTGTTCGTCGTCGTCGTCCTCTTTGGCGTCGTGGTCGTTTCCGTCGTCGTTGTCGCCGTGGTCGTCCTTCCTCCTCCTCCCTCGTCGTCGTCGTCCGTCGTCGGCGTCTCGTCGTCGTCCCTCCTATTTCGTCGCCGTCGTCGTCGTCGTCGTCGTTGTCGTCGTCGTCGTTTTCCCTCCTCCCTCGTCGTTGCCGTCGTCGGCGTCGCCGTCCTTCCTCCATCTTCGTCGTTCGCGTCGTCGCCGTCCTCCCTCCTCCCTCGTCGTTGTCGTCGTTGTCGCCGTCGTCGTCCTCCCTCCTCCCTCGTTGTCTTCGTTGGCGACGTCGTCGTCGTCTTCGTCGTCGTCGTCGGCGTCGGCGTCGTTGTCGTCTTCGTCGTCGACGACGTCGGCGTCGTCGTCGTCGCCGCCGTCGTCGTCGTCGGCGGCGTCGTTGACGTCGTCGTCGTCGGTGTCGTCGTTATCGTCGTCGTCGGCGTCGTCATCGTCGTCGTCGTTGTCATCGTCGTCGTCGTCGTCGGCGTCGGTGTCGTCGTTGTCGGTGTCGTCGTCGTCGTCGTTGTCGGCGTCGTCGAAGTCGTTGGAGACGTCGTCGGTGTCGTCGTCGTCGTTGTCGGCGGCGTCGTCATCGTCGTTGTCGCTCTCGTCGTTGGCGTCGCT